TGTTTAAGAGCAGAACACAAAGAGAGCACTTGATGCTTGATCCCAGCATCAGATGTACACATCCGCACATTAATCAGTCTCTGGTTTTACAAGGCAGTTGAAAGACTACTCTTGTCCGTCTATGTTACAGACGTTACAGAAGCAGGCTGGGTTTCAAGTTTGTGTTCATGGAAAATGTATTGAAGGAAAACACCAACTCCTTCTGAGACTGGCCCATTGATCAGCTATGCTATTGAGTGCTGGGAAATCAACACAAAAATCATCCATGTGTGCCTGATAGATTGTTAGCTGCAGCGCTCAGACGCAACACTTCAATATTTACTATACTGAGTGAAGACTGACTTTTAAGACATGAAAGATTGTAGGAGAGTCTGACCTCTTGATTCATAAAGTTGAAAACTAAAACATCATTATCTGATCAGCTCTGAGGACTACTGTTGGTCTGAAAACACGACATCATGTGTTATACTATTTTACATTTTCTGCATTTCTTTTCCAATCTCTACCACAGAAGGCCTCACTTGTGATTTAACTTTAATATTTTCTCATAAAGATGCCAGTTTCCTACTCACATGCACCTGAGCATGTGATCTACATAAAAATCTATAAAAAAAACAATTAGTCTATAATTAAGATATGCTGATAATCAGGACGTGCATTTTCCTTCAGAGGGAGGTCTTATGCAAATTTTGTAACATAAAAAAGAATTTTTTTAAATTATTAAATCTTTTCTCTAAAGTCTTCCAAGACTAAAGGTCACACAGGAAAGGTCAGTATATTATTAACATTTTACATCCTCAACTATCATGCAGTTACTCAACATTAAGTAAAAAACAAACTAGCAACCTTACCTGGCCTTCAGTGCCGGCATTCCACACATAAAGGTCATTCTCAGTATGCATTTTGACATTTTACATGTATCACGTCGAGTTCAGTACAACTTCAGTAAGCAAAGCCACCAGATATCTTAGCCCGAGTGGCGGTGCTGCATTCGCCTCCTCATCTCTACACATCTTCCCTGCATCTGTCCCTCAAGCACATGTGGCCACATGTGGCAGATGCTGCACGGCCGAGCTTTCGGAGGGGCTGCGGCGCTGTCAGCTCAGATCCGTCTTCATTTATGAGGCCGCTTGTTCATGAAGCCCAACATGGCTCAACAGGAGGCAGGCTTCCACAAACACGCTCACGTACGCTGTCATAAATCCACATTAGTGAGGCCGGGGCATCTCATGCAGAGGGAGGATGGTTGAGGGGGTTCATGACAAGTAGCCCCGGACACAACTAGCTAACCAATAGATCCAGGAGCGATTGAGGGAATTTCTGTTGCTTTTTAAAAAAAAAAATTCAGTTTACAAAGCGTGCCTCATCGTGTGACTGCCATTTACATAGCCGGATTGTTTTTTTCCAAAGGAAAGGTCAGTGGCTGGGGCAACTTGCCAGGTGTTTGTGGAGCAGCAGACCAGTGCAGTGCGGTGAATGTAATTACGGCACTCTGGCAATCTGATAACCTGCCAGTCTGTCTCTCAACACTAGGAAAGTGCACTGGCATATTAAATGTGGCTCAACAAACACGGTTGTGAGCCGAGAACAGTGTCTGTCTGTGCAGTATTATAGGGTAGGGGTAGTGGGTGGAACAGGGTTTGGCTGATAATCAAGACCACTGTGTTTTTCAACTGATGAATTTCATTGGAAACAATCTGTTTCGCTTGGAAGGGTTGGACCACTAAATCTCTTAATTAAAGGATAGGTTCAGTTAATTTTGAGTCTATCTAAAAATAAAACTCACAATATCTACAGATTCTACACTGTAAGAATTACTGATGAAGTGATCCCTTTTGCTGACTCCAAAGTAAAAGACCACAGCTTATCCCTTTAGTTTGTGGCTGTTGTTGGTGGCACTGTTTTTTTATTTTGTGCTGTGCTAGTGTGTTAAATATACTCATCTATTTCATACCCCTCAACAAGGCTTGTGGGTAATGGAACGACAGCGAGGGACGAGACTTTTGTTCTTTGACTTTATCTTGAAGACAGCGCTTATCCCCAGGGTGGTACACCCATTGTCTGGAAGGCTAAAGAAAGGGAACAAAAGTCTCCCATGTGCAGTTAAAGCCATAGATTACATGAAAGATTGCAACATAATTGGTTGCAGCAGCCTTGCTCTGCAAGCTGGACAGTGATTTGTATCTGGCTGGAGCTAAAATGAGGCTCAGAAATGTGAGTTACCAAAGTCAGGTGTGGAGCTCCCAGAGTTAGAGGAGAAGGGGAGTGTGCCTTTTAGTGTTTCCATGGACAGTGCTTCCTTGCTGAGCTGCAGGGCAGGTATAGTAACACAAGGATGACATTTCAGTACTGAAAGAAGATTTTGTTCCCCCATCTCTCCCATTAGAGTTGCAGAAGGAAGGCTTCACTTCACAGTCATTCAATGTGAAGATACCCACTAGACTTGAAAGAAACAGAAGCCTTGATAGCTCACCTGGTAGAGCTGGTGACCCATGTACCAAGGCTACAGCAGCCCAGGGTTCGAATGTGACCTGTGGCCCTTTGCTGCATGTCATCCCCTCTCTCTCTTCACCCTTTCATGTCACTCTTCAGCTGTCACTATCAATAAAGCCAATAAAAGCCCCCACCCCCCCCCAAAAAATAAAAAGAACTTTGAACCTATCCTTTAAAGGCTTGTCCGTTCTGAGCTACTCTAGAAACAAAAATACAACAACTCTTTATTTTTAGGTGATTATACACTAATGAAAATAAACCTATGAATATTATATTTGATACCTGCCAATAGATCCTCCTAAATGTTACACACTGGACCTTCAACAATATATTCTTTAAATAAAAAAAATGTCGTCACGTAAACAAAGGTAATGCTCTACACATAGGTGGACTGTTCAGGAAAAAGGTTGGTCGTGGAACAAAAACAATGTTTCTGTATGTAATCAAATAAAAGTTGTCCCTTAGTAGGGAGTCCTGCTCCTGTCTGGAAATGAGCTGTAGACGACAGCCTTAAACAGACAGCTGAGAGAGTCCAGAGAGCTGCCCGAGACACGCTGCCGCCGCTCTGGATCTCAGTTGACACCATAAGTCAATGACCGGCTATTTAGACGTTGAAGCTGTTTGGGGACTAGTCTTAACAAGCACAAAGGGTCCACTGAGTGAGCCAGAGAAGGTGTCGCTGAGCTAATAGAACAGAGAGCGCTCTCCACACCCAGCACTGCTATAGCTCTTCCTTTTTAACCATTTGCACTCTCACTTTGCCTTTTTTTTTTTTCCTCACTGTAATTACACCTGCTCTGCCAAGCGTAGCTCGAGGCGTGGCTGGGCAAAATCACTCGTTAATATGAATCTGCAGACTGTGCGAGGAGAAGGACTCCTCACTGACAGTCTCTGTGGAAACATTAGGTTGTAAGCAGCCTGCACCTGTGTGTCCCTCCTGGGACCAAGAGGTAAGGAAGCCACACTTTGGGGAATAGGGTGTGAAGTGAGACCATCCATTTTCAAAATGAACCTGCAACAATTATAAATCCAGAGTGAGGAAACAAGCTCGTAACCAACAGCCTTCGGGCTGTTTAACCAGTTAAAATCAACCTGCAAAATCACAATTGTACAAGAATGTCAGAGAGCCAGAAATGGAGGTGTGATCATCAGAATAGAAGCCTGAGACACCTTGAATAGTGAGAATAATCAAATAAAAACTAGCAGCCTATTGCAAACTACATACTCCTTATCTCCAAGATTGGCAATGCTGTTTTTGTCTCCTAGACAAAGAGATTTCCAGGCGGGAAGTGCGAAACTGAAGGTGTGACGACACGTCTTCAGCCCTCCGAGACAGTGGAGCGGCTGCTGTGTTTGTCAGGAGACATACAGAGCATTAACACCAGCCAGAGCACCAGACCAGACAGATAGTGTTACACAGCGCTTCCCTTCCTCATGTCAAACGAGCGTAATCACACACATCCAGAGACAGAATCAGAATTATGGCAGCTGAACCCCCCCCCCACTGAAATACAAAGATATGCCATGACAACGGACCGTGTTGCCGCGTGATACAGTGAGGGGAAATCTGTGCACAAGCCATGCTGTTCTACTACAAATGACATGTAGCTGCAGGCTACGCAAGGCCAGTTGTTAGAGATGTGTTTGTGCGAAGGAGTGAGGAGCTGGAGGGAGAGGGAAATTATTATCTATCTAGATGCTCTTCAAAAAAGGACCAAGAAAGTTCAGACACAACAAACATCATTAATTTAGACTGCCAGACAACAACATGCATATTATACTCCTATAAGGAATAGGAATCAATTACTTATCCATACTATACTGGACGACACGAAAAATAGCAATTGACAGTTGGGTAGAAACACTAATGGAAAACACGAGCTCCCATAAAAACAGGGTTACATGAGAAGCAAAGCCGCTTGAGCTCATTTCCATAATACCTCTGTGTGCCCCATGAGAATCTCGGGTTCAGTTTGCCTTCATTAGCATGTGCCACGAAACAGCATATACTGTTTTATTCCCCTTTTTTTTGCAGCTGGAGTATATTAAAAGGTTTTCAGTGTATGCTGGAGTCTGTGGGTGCGGGGCCGTCGGGTGCGAAACCTGCCCACTGGCTGCAGCTCACAGACATTATTTTTGGGGAATTTACTGCAGAGCCAAGGATTTTTATCAGATTCACAGCAGGAAGCAAATTGGGTGGGAGATAACAGTTGGCTACTCTCATCACCTACAGACCTACAGATAGGAGAAGCTCATTTAAATTCAGACAGCATGTCATCCATTCAACTTCTCAATTTGAGTTCATGCAACTCACTTGTTAGCTAAAATAGCGCTTAAAACTGTTAACAGAGTTTCACACATTGTTGAACTCGCTGACAACCGGGGTAGGAGTTGTGTTTGTCATATGGTTCATGCTAGCTGCCTCAGGAATGAGTCTGTCTGCTGTTTCAAAAGCCTTTAGATCCCATTCCTCAGGTTTAAGATTGAATGTCTTTAGTCGAGACACATACCAGCAATCCATTTTATTTAGCTGAATATCTTCACAGAAAAAAAGAGCAATTACAGCCACCTACTAAATCCAAAAACTATGCAGTGTGCACTATAATCATTCAAAAAAAAGGTATATTGTATATCACAAATTCACATATTAAAAAGAACAAACTCATAAACAAGCAGTATAGCATTTCTCTGCAGCAGAGGCATAATGAGAGGGATGCAATGACGGGCAGTATGTGTTTTTGATAGGTATTTCACTTAAAAGTCAATGTATTCCATACGTTTATCCTTTAGGAAAAGTAAAAATAGAACATATGACTCTTCGCAACTCTCCAAAAAAACAAAAACAACAACCCTTCACCATGATTCACTGTCCATGCAGTTGACATCACAGCTGCCAGGTACTTGTATAGGACATGCGGCAGTGGGGCTGAATGGAGGTTGTGAGAGGGGTTAATTAGGAGCCATGACAGATGTCAAATCTCAAATCTCAATAGCATCGTGGGGGGAAAGGGGGAAGGGGAGGAAGACTTTCATGCAAATCTTAACAGTATAAGTCATTTGATATCTCACTGTGGGGTCCAAGACAGTGTCCCGTCCTCTCTCACACATCTGAATTGATGCTCAGGTTGGCCAAACGCGGGTCAGAGTTTATCTCGTACCTGTAATGGTACCCTTCCATGTGGTCCCTACAAGCATCCCGGATGTTGTACATCCACCGCTTGATGCCTTTCCTGTTCAGGTAGAGCACCAGCAGGAATATGACGCCAATCAGAGCCAGCACCAGCCCCAGGAAAACATAAGAAGTCTCCAGCACGCCCTCCATGTCGCCAGAACACTTCAGCTGCGACTGCTCTACCTGCAGGAGCGGCTGGTGTCTCAGGGCCTCGGGTTCTGTACAGGTCAGGTTCTGCACGTCGACGACCTGGGTGGAGTTTTTCAGCCACGACAGCGTGTCCTCGATGAAGCAGTCGCAGCGCCAGGGGTTCCCCGCCAGCCGGATGCGGACGCCGGGGTTGAGGCTGAACTCTGCCTGGGTGGTGGTGGACAGATCCCTCAGGCTGTTGTCCCTCAGGTCAAGGTCACGCAGCAGCGGCCCCTTCAGCGTCCCGTTCTGCATGGAGATGATGGAGCTGTTCTGCAGGCTGAGGTTGACCAGGTTGGAGAGGCTGGCGAATATGTTGTCTGGAAGAATCACAAGGTCATTGTTGGACAGGTCCAGGACCGTCAGCTGGAAGAGGTTTCCACTCTGCAGGACACCCAGGACCTCATCTATGAAGGAATGGTTGTGAAAAGACCTACTGAGATTGAGGAACTGCAGTGTATTATTGTGAGGGAAAGCTCTTTCACTGAAAGTCTGGAATTTGTTGTTGCTCAGGTCCAGCCGCACAAGGTTTGGCAAGTTGTCAAATACCTTTGCATCCACAGACTCCATCTCATTCCCACTGAGATAGAGATCTGTTAATAGTTCCAGGCGGTTTGGGAAAGAGTCCACACTAATATGGGAAATATTGTTTCCTGTGACGAACAGGAATTTGGTATTGGCCGGCAAATCCTGCGGAATCGTGTCCAAGTCCTGGTTTTGGCATTTCACAGTTTGTGAGAAGCACAAGCATTTGTCCGGACAGCCGTGACAGGACAGTGCGAGCGCAAGGAGGAAGAGCAAATACATCATCCCAGACTTGTGTGCTTTCCCTCGGATTTGTCCGCGGTTACATCCGCACGAGGTGCTCAACAGGCGCATCTTGCGCTGTAGAAATCTGTCGGCGCAGACCGTGCGTAAAGATTACTTTACAACAATCCAAGCCAGTCACCGCCTTGTTCTTCCACGGGAAACAAGGAAAAGTTTTTCAACTAGGCCTATGTTTCCCGACTGTATCCTTTCGAAAGCTGCTCCCACTTCCAACTCAGTCTCCATATAACTACCCCCAAACCATCCTCCTTTAGGAAAAGTCTACCTTTCCATGACGATAACGGTGATGTGGACGACGCTTGCAAACTTCTAACGTTACGTTATCTTCTTCCTTTGTTATCCACACCTCAGGCGCATATATATATGTATGTGTACAAGCTGCACGGTATTTTACAGTCCCGATAAAACAATGAAGTCCGGCTCAGAATGTAAAATCGACAGATAACTTACTCGGGCTACTGGTTCCGAGACGGTGCCATGTATTAGGTACGACCAGCTTGTCGCTCTCCTAAACGTAGGGAGTCTGGAGGGAGAGACTAAACACAGCAGCACAGTGCAGACCACTGGAAGGAGGGAGCATACCATTGTTCAGCAAAAGGGGGGTGAACTGAAAACTCCTCTAAGTTCATTTACAATTTATTTTAGATTCCCCTCTCATGGCGATGCCACACGTGGTTTTTACATTAATCTTAACTCTACTGTCAACCATCTAATTGTAGAAAACGCAACTAGTTACCCTAAAAATGAAGTGGGCCGGTGGTGACTTGAGGGCCAGGGACCTCCAGGGGTCCCCGAGGGAGCTCCAGTGACGTCCCAAGAAATGTGAAGCACAACTCAGCGTCACTCAGAGATGAGGCAGCAGTATAGTATGTAAGCAAGTTTATATCTTCTGATCACAGGTTTACACAAAAAGTGATGATATTTATACAGTTCCATACTACATCATTACCAAGCACAAACATGTTTGCAGTTGGTATTTCTTGAAATAAAATATATTCACGTGATGTTGTTATGACTCAACATGTAGGGAGACAAAAAAGTTTGTGGGAAAACCAGTTTGATCTGTTGGGCCTATCATAAGATCTGATGTCTAAAACGCATTTTACAGCTATTTATTTGAAGTTTAGGATCCTTGAGGATTGTAATGATCTCTCTGCCATACCCAATGGAGGCTGTGGAAAAACATTATCAAGATTTATTGTGTGTAATTGTGTTTGTCCACATGATACAGAACCACATACAAACAAACTTAAAAGAAGAGCAAAGAAAAAATGACTTGTAATCATTTGGATGAAGGTGCCTGGCTCAGATTTGAGGTAAAGGTTGAAACAAATAATAAAAAAAAAAAACAGTCATCCTTTAATCCTTTAATATAAACATGGCCAGTGTGTAACATTTAGGAGGATCTATTAGTAGAAGTGGAATATAATATGCATTAGGGTGCTACGTTTTCATTAGTGTATAATCAGAGTATAGGAATCGTGATGTTTTTGTTACCTTAGAATGAAATGTTTATATCTACAGACACATTAAGTCAGCCATGTTGGACTGCAATGTTTCTACAGAAGCCCAGAAGGGACAAACCAAACGCTGGCTCTAGATAGGAGCATTGGCGTTGTTGGCGTGTTTCACGGCCACCGTAGTTTCTCCTTTACGCTTGGAAGGGATGGGAGAAGCGAGGGAGTTGCAATCTGCAACTACAGATGTTAGATGCCACTAAATCCTACATCCCTACTATATATATATATATATATATATATATATATATATATAATATTCAACTATTTCACATTTGATTTTGAAAACTGTTGAATGTCATTAATTACGTATCCCTCAAACAAAGGTCCGTGACCTCACTTACTTTATCCACAAGTAATAACTAACACTAAGTTCAAAATATAAAAAATAAATATTTTAAACACATTCTGTCCACTGTTTTTGGCAGCTTTAATTAATTTCCTCAACCAAATAATGATTTGAATAGCATTTGACAGTTTCAAGGGTTCAATAACACAATATTATTGTCTTAACAGTGCAATGGTTGGATTCCCTTTATCTCTTCATTGTCTGTATTTCCACCTCTCCTTTTGAGAAATTACTTGAGTGGCGACCTTGTAGTGAAGGCATTGTCTTCTGGATTATGCAGGATTATACTGCTGAGAAGCAACACTGTGGATGCGTTCATGCGTGACGGAGGGCGTGCTCATCAATATGTCATATTTGGAAGCCCCGGTGTAGATCCCAGTGTAACCCTAGCTTTAACCTCCTTTGACTCCTTCCTATTCTTAGCCTGGGTCAATGTGACAATCATCTGAGTAATTCCATGAAACCTGGATCAAGGCTGAAAGTGATACCCAATGTATAACTATGAGACTATTGGAACTGACATGATGTTCTTGTGGCAGATCTAAACATTTTACATCCACCTTTCATGCCCACTCCACTGTAGTTGTGGCGTGCTTCAAAAGATTCTGTTCTGGGTGGAACATCAAATAATTCTTATTCTCTATAAAGTGAAAGAAAAAAGATTTGTGCAGAATTAATTTCAAAACAACTCTCAAACCTTTTCCCTGCTATTGTGATACTATTGTATGTACACTGTACTCTTTTTATTGCCTTATATTCCCCAATGCTGCTGTGTGTAATTTGAATTTCTCCTACGGGGGATTAATAACGGTATATCTTATTTTATTCTACCTTTTCTTGCTCTTAATTGCATCTAAGTGGAAATATAGGCACAGTGCGGTAATACACATTTGTCCATTAAAGAGTGAGTAGTATTAGCAGCTGTAGTTGTGCTTTTATGAAGAATAATGTGTTATTGTCGAGATGACCATGAGGTGCAAATTATAACGTATTATACTATACTAAATAATATTCTTGTTTCATTTAAGATTAATTGACAAGATAAATAGCATTTGTTTTAAATATATTTTTTAATTTCTACGTTATTTAAAATTATGTTAACAATATAAACCCTAAAGTAAAAATCAAATCAACTTTCCTATGACATCATAGTTACAGCAACAGCACATTGAGCGCAACGAACGCCCAAAAAAACAACCAATAGAATGTCGGCGTACACACGTCCCGACCAATCAGAAGTCTCGACAGTAGCGAGGCGTTTTACCTAACCTGCAGGGCTTCAGGCGTCCAGTCCTGTCAAAATCTGCACCAGTGAAAAAGCCGCTAGCGTCTCGCGTTTGTAGTAATGACACAGAGGATGTACGTCGTTGATGCAACTTTCTCCATGTCCTCTTTTTTCTTTATCTAGCGGAAGGTAAGAGATGATTCAGTGATTCAATGATTCAATAATTAGATGATTAAATGTTTAAATGTTGATTTCCCTGCTGCAGAGCTCGCTAACGTTAGCTGTCGATGATGTGTCAGTTAAGCTAGCTGCCAAGGTAGAGTTAGCTAGCCCTAGCTAACAACACTTTTTGAACCCGTAGCTCTGTTGTTACTGTCGCCCACACCAAGCTGTAAGGTTAGCTGAGCATACATCGCAAATTATTATGTGTAGCCCTTTTGCTGCTTGTGTAATAGGAGCTAATACCGAAGTAGCTTGCAGCTGGCTAGCAGGTTAGTCACCTAACTGTGTGGGGAAATATGATCAGTGAATCTTACTCCGATGAAGAATCAGGTTCATAATGTCTTCAACACTCAGTTGTTTCACACAGAACCCAGTTAGGGGTTGAATGTAGTGTTTTATCCAACACAGAAACTGAAGAATCTCATGTTATTCGGCTAATTTAACATGTTACATACGTTAATACTGCTGCCTGGTAGTCAACATTGAGAACCTCCCTTATTAATGTCTGTGCATTTTCTTCACAGAAACATTACCCATGTGCAAACATTAATTCATTTGAACAGCCTCCTATCTTATTTGCTCAGCATAAAAAGCTGTGCAGCGAACCGGCAGCCTCAGCTGAAGGCTGTAGTTAGGCCGGACTGTCTCTGACCTTTGTGCCTGCAGTTTGGATCTCATCTCCCTACTGCATCCTGCACACAAAGCTGTACTTAGATTTTGCAAGTACACAAAGTGTGAATGTTGGCCATTGTTTATCAGTGATAACTCTGGAAATTTCTTCCTCAGGTTCACTCTACAATTATGGAGTTTTGAAAAGAAAAGTGAGAATTTTGGGGGGAAAGGGGGCCTTTCCCCTCAAGTTTGATGGTTGGACTGCTGGACGAGAAGGTCAGAGGGTTGCTGAAATTGTTGCCTTTTGTAAATTAGTAAAGAGTATATAAAGGAGAAACTATTTTTGCAACGGTTAATATGTACAATTTTGTATAAAAAGCACGAGGTTTTGTATTTATTGAATTCTTGATGCCACTGTATGCTGCAAGCACCTTAGTTTGTGTTCAATACTGGGTTGAAATGGTGGACTGAAGCAAGTCGCAGAGAGGCTCTGGAGTCGCTAGGGTGCGGTGGAACCTCAACACAAGCACAATTCTAGCACTCCAAACCATCTCGACCCCTTTGTTGACACATTTTTTTTTTCTTCTTCTTGAAAAGCAGCTCTTACAGTTACAGTTTATTTGTTACCTCACATTGTATTTGAGTTTGTTTGCAATTGTGGGTGGTGGGCTGTCAGAAGGACTTTGTAATACATACGGGAGGTGGGTTCACTGTGAAGATTTGGTGGAAGTCAGGATGAGTCTGGCACCGCCGGACTGCACCCCGAAATGCCGCTCACAGAAGCATGCAGACGAGGTGGTAGCGGCGCTGACGGGTGGCTCTGAGGGGCAGCTGCGGGCCTTCTTGACTTCACACTGCCACAATGCGGCCACCTTGCGAGACGCCTTTGGTCGCACTGCCCTGCACCTGGCAGCCTCACTGGGAAAGAAGGCCCTACTGGAGTGGCTGCTGGAGAGCAAAAGTGCTGACCTGATGGTGAAGGATAAGGAATCGGGCTGGACCGCTCTGCATCGCAGTGCTTTCTACGGACAGATTCACTGTCTCATATCGCTGGTCAAGGTTTGTATTTAGCAGTCCAGATCATCAGTCAAATAATGCAATAATATGAAAATGTCATAAAAGGAATAATGAATGCTAATTTTAGGCTAAATTTGACTCTTTGAATCTCTCTCTTTTTTTTTTTTTTTCCCCTTGACATTGTTTTAGCATGCTGGACTCCTCTCCACCCAGGACAAGGAGGGTCTCTCTGTCCTGGACCTTACAATGAAGGACCGACCAACACATGTTGTGTTCAAAAACACTGGTAAGAAATTGACTTCTGCTCTTCAATTCCAATGTGCATGGCGCGGGTGTCCTTCACCATTCCAAACAATATTTTTTGTTCAACTTGTCGTTGTATGACATTGCTGAAGTGAAGGTGTGGTTTTGTTTTTGCAGAGTCACAAGCTTATTAGCATCATGACTCATTCTGTTTTAATGACGCATTTCACACTTGGACATGCATCGGATTTAATTCTCCCTGTGCTATGTCACGTGTCTTTTGTAGCCGTTATGATTTGTGCTTTTCACATTACATACCAAAGGACTTTCTGAAAGACTGGATGGAGGATGTAGTACCCATTGTGTATGAACAGAAGAT